TATAGATTATCTATGATCTATAAACATTGGATGCCATCCACTATTTCTAAAATAATTTGTAAATACTATGTATATATTATAACGAAATATGTTTAACTTAAACCATTAACACACAAACGTTCAGAATGCCTATAGACAATTTTCAAATCTTGGCGGTCAAGGATATGACCGGTGTAACTGTAAACAGCAATGCAAGACAAATTAATGTAAGAGTAGGGCTGCAGGTAAACTATGTACTTCTAAATATCATGATAGCTTAAGTTGCAAAAAGAAAATTAAAAAAAATAGTTAATATTCATAAAATAAATTATTGTAAATTATTAAGATAACAAAAATTGTTTTATACCATTGTAATTGCCCACTGTGCTCTGGTCATTCTGGGCAAAGTGTATAATTGTCCATATTGTCCATTGACATTTGGCATTTTATACATTGTCCGGGCATTATTGTACTACAACGTCCATTTAGTCACTTTGACCGTAACATATACATAATATAATATATATTATATTTATAGGAATATATTTTAATATAATAACATTGTGTAATAACAAAAAATAATAAGTGCTTGTAAATTTACAACACATACACTTTTACATTTTATTTAAATACTAATTATAGATATAGTACCCACCCAAGTAAGACTTTTACTGCCCGAAACCTTTATGACAGAAATACCCAAAAAAAACGTCATATGTAGAAATTTGAACCGTCTAAGTATCACGGTTCATGAGATACAGCCTGGTGACGGACGGACAGCGAAGTCTTAGTAATAGTGTCCCGTTTCACAATTTGGGTACGGAACCCTAAAAATGTTTGCTTAAACTGTGTTAAATGAAAATGAAAACAGTTTTATAATATATATTAAATTGAAATAAGATTATGAAAATGTGTAGAGATTCTCAAAAATTATTTTTGCCCCTACGTGAATAGAGTCCAAGTTACGCCTATGCCAGTGAGGGACTTGGATCCGCTTTTACCTAAGGCACGTTGTAATACACAGAATAAGAGCAAGCGTAAATAATCCACGATTGCACCTTCTACTGCATGTGCGATATTATATTATAATCTAACGTCGGACGGATCACTATATTAATATAATAAATACATAATAACACAGTCATCCAATCGCGGTCAGCAAAGAGCGTGTAGTGTGTCCCTCAAAAATATGGTAACAAAAACGCGCGGTTCGTCGCAGAAGCAAGGAATGCCTCGTAGTAATATAATAATTTGTTTATCGTTTATGTAACCACTAACCAATATTTAAAGAATTGAATGTAATATGTTGTATGTAACAATATGTATCGTGATCCGCGGGCAGATATTTGGCTGACACCCTCGAATGAAACAAAACGCCCGGGATACATAAGAAGAATATATTGTATGACATTCAACAATTCAGGCAATGGTCGGATTGGCAAGCTGCCGAGGAAATCTCGGTGGGCCACTCAATACCGCCCAGTTATGAGTGTTAATTGGTAACTTTTTCTTTTTATGATAATGAGAAATGAGTACAAACATGAGTATAGAAATATGTAATTTAATGAAACTCAGTGGGCCGATACCATGACTATCCTGTATTCCTGTTACACCGTGACCGATTCGACAAAGGACGAAAACGCAACACGACAGTAGTATACCACTAAACCATGGTATACAGGATGCGTGGACGGAAAATGGCGGATTATTATTTACTTGTCATTGTATAACAACGGCGTGCAAGAATACAGCCATACGGAACTCAAACAAACGTGACATACCACAGACAAGCTGATAAAATGTATAAATTCGACGGGAGCACTACAGTGACGCTCAAGGCGGAATGTGCCACAACAAAATACGAGAATGCATATTGAAATTAAGATGACACTTACGGCTAAGGCGGACATGCAACAAAAACGGACATAAACCGTCAGTGTAACTAATAAAATAATACTTGATGCTGTAAAAAAACGCCTGTCGCGACATAGCGACATGGCTGGCACTTGGACGCACACTTGGTCAAGGCAGAAGACGGAACATGACATGTCAATATATTAATATTATATAGATGTCGTTGATAATGACATCTTGGTCAGGTGCAGTAACGGCGGGTTCGTTTTTGTTCAAATCCGCGATGACGGATGTATCACCAGCTGAAGTCATATGCACCGCAATGCTTGCGGTGAAATCACGACTTTCCGACTTGATTTTTGTCGGGCCTGCATATTTCAGCTTATTGAAAACTATTGATGCATCCAGTTGGCGGAGGACAGTGACCGGATCTAGAATTCGGACGAAATATTATTGTGAATCCATTGCGATATTCTTTATGGGCATGTATGTTAATGTATTATTAGAGCATTATGGTTTAAAATGTAGAATGGAATATTACATTATTCCGCAGTGTTCGTTATAACAATAATACTAAAATAATATAATTGAAAGTAGAAGGATTGTATTTTGATCACCCAAATTGGGTTTATCTTCTTATGTGAACGATGATCTATGCATTGATGCAAAAAAAAATTGAAATTTTTAATATTTTTTTCACTTTTGAATTGCGGGACATTAATATTTATATTAGCACTGTACTATCCATTGAGGGTTGGGACACACTTTAAGCCTGAATCATTCGACCCAACACACCACCAAGTTAGTGGCACAAACACGTTCTTTTGTTGTGCGGTATTTACGCTTGATGGCTTGTGCTTAAGGTCAGTGGGCGATGGTTTAGGGGTACTCGACGATGTACTAAGTTGTTTTCAAACTTGAGTGATATTATTTTTGATTTTACAATAGTATTATTATTATTACGAACCATAATATTAGGTTCATTCATTAATTGTCAAATGAATTATTGTATTTGTAATTGTATTAAAAAAAAAAAAAAAATGTAAGCCACTTACGTCACGACTTGGGCTACGGTATAACACCTGCAGCAAATGACTAATCTTTATACTTCTTTGTGGGTCTTAGTTTTCGATTCTCCAGGTATTTTGTGTGAGATGGAGGAAGAGATGTTCGAACACGGAACTGTTATTCCTTAAATAGCCCGGTGGGCGTTGATGTTTCAACGAGAGATCCTGTTCCTCCTCGCAAAATCCTGATTCCTGGTGCGAATCATTAAGTTCACCGGTGGTGTGCCGCCAACCCGGTTGTCCAATTGTCTTTTACCTTAACCGAACACTGAGTCCTGTTCGTTAACCACCAGTGAAAACCTCGTGTAATCACAAGACTCGTGTTTATGTAGTTGCTGTGATCAGTGGGCATTAACTAATATGGATAATATAATAAAAATTAACCAATATACATTTACTCCCAAGCGAGTAGTCGAGTTTTTGTTTATCTTCTTAGTGGTTGAGCGAAACTTGAGCGTGAAATGGAATAAGCAGCGCACTCTAACGATGAACTATAGAAACATTTTATTTCGCCCTGATGGCTTAGTAAAATCACTACATCGCAGCGCTACACGATTTAATTTTCACAAATCGTATTTTATAGGTACTCCTTACTGTCGATCTAGGATTACATGATGAGTGATGACTGTCATGCGGTGGCTAACGTCCTCAAGAATATTTATTATTTGTACGCCCAGTTCATTTTTCAGTGCCATTATGAATTTGTATATATATTATTGAATTTGAAAAAAATATTAAAATTATGTTTTATACATCAAAAAGTTGCAATTATTTCCTCGAAGGCTATGATAATTTGAAAATGAAAGAACCCATTTATCTATTTAAATAAATAATCATTACTTTCAACTTTTAACACTTATATAAGAGGGAATCGTCGTACCCACATATTAAGTTGTCTGGCCGTCTGGGTCATAGCAAACTGAGTTCACTAGTTTCAATAATGTGCTGTTAGTTTTGATATCAAAGTGATTTGATCTATTATCGAAGTTTTAGGTAAGAACATATTATCTGTGTTCTCTCTTTGGTTTTTACGATACTTTAATTTTTAAGTGAATTATGAGCATTTTCAAATATGAATAATTTACATACCAACCCATAACGCACTTAAAAATTAAAGTATCGTAAAAACCAAAAAGGGAACACAGGTAATGTTCTTACCTAAAATTTTGATTATAGGTCAATTAACTTTTATATCAAGACTAACAGAACACTATTGAAACTAGCGAACGAAAATCTTATATGCCGTACGAGTGTAGGTTAGGTTACGTAACAAATATTATAGGTACTACCACCTGTTTTGTATTGACTTACAATATTATTATTTTTATAGTTGTGTAATTTTTGTATAAGAGCTGTTTCACACGAGACACTTTGTGGCCAGCGACTAGTGTCTGAAAAGAATCGGGCGATTTAAAATATATTGATATTTAGAGCTGTTTCACACGAGACACTTTGTGGCCAGCGACTAGTGTCTGAAAAGAATCGGGCGATTTAAAATATATTGATATTTATAGAAGCGTTCACACGAGACACAGATAAGGAATCAGTGTCCCGCAGGCGTTTCGAAGTGTCTCTTCCCCTCTAGTAGCCGGACACTGTGTTTGTGTCTGAGCCACCGATAATCTACACATTGTTATGAATATGTTCAGACGAGACACACGAGACCGCCAATTTATACCGATTTTAAACAATAATTAATAAATAATTTATTGAGGCAGTAATTATTTTATTACATATTTTGAAATTGATCAATAATTATGATCCTTGATACGGACAAATTCATAGTTGAGAATGAAAAACGGAAAGAGTTGTGGGATATTGCAAGCACTAATTATGCTAATAAGATCATAAAACGAAATTCATGGATAGACGTGTGCCGAATATTTTGCGAGAAATATGACGAAATGCCAACAATTGAACAAAATGAAATGAGTAAGTTACTTATTACATAATATAAAACAACAAATTTATGTATTAAGAAGTATTAGTATATTATTAAACATTATAATATTACAAAAATATTATATACCTATAATAATATACATTTATATGAAAAAAAAGGTATTTAGGTATATTTTTATATATAAATATTTTTTTTTTTTCATCATAGTATATTATTAGGTATTATTTATTATTATTAGTATTTAAGTATTACAGAAACTACATACATAAAATTAAAGTACGTCATAGTTAATTTCAATTGAAACTATATATATGAATTATTTTTAAATACTATCTAATTGCCATGGTACTTGTCCTACATCCATAAAATAATCAGCAAAATGGTCACGAATACTAGTTGGTGTTTTTCCAGCTGTGTTATCTAATATTTCATTCATACTTGTGAATCCTTGGTATGATAATGTATCTTCGAATGTTAATGTATTTTCATCTCGTATACGAACAAAATTATGAAGTATCACGCAAGCTTTAATTATGTCTTCAGCAAAGTCTTCTGATACGTTTAAAGGCCTGTGAAATATTCTCCATTTGTTGGAGAGAATTCCAAACGAACATTCAATTAAGCGACGTGCCCGAGACAAGCGGTAATTAAATACCCTTTTCTTTATTGTTAAATTTTTCCCTGCATATGGGCGCATAATATGTTGAGATAATCCAAAAGCCTCATCCCCAACAATGACATATGGCAGCTTTGGTCCACTAGTACCTGGTAGTATAGAATTATCTGGTATATTCAATTCATTTTTTATCAGCTTTTTAAAAAAATTGGAATTTTTAAATATGGAAGAATCACTGTTTTTTCCATAATCACCGATATCAACTGCTGTAAAGCAATAATTGGAATCACAGACAGCTAATAATACCATTGAAAAAAAATGCTTATAGTTGTAGTATTGGGATCCACTATGAGCTGGTTTAACAATTCGGATGTGTTTCCCGTCAATTGCGCCAAGACAATTCGGAAAATTAGTCACATTCATAAAGTGTTCAGAAATGTCTAACCATTTGTCATTGGTTGGTTCAGCCATATATATGTCTTTGAGATTATTCCAAATTGCTTCACACGCTTCCTGAATTATTCCACTTAAAGTTGAAATTCCAATTCTATAATTGTAGTGTAATTCAGTAAGTGTACATCCGGTGGCAAGATATCTAATAAGAAAAAATATAGTATGAAATTATACAATAATCATTAAAAAAATAATAATTATATTTAATAGCTACTTGAGAACTTATATATAGTATTTAAATCATAGTGTAAATTTAAACAAATGGTAAAAATGTAAAGCTTCTTCAACTGTTACTTTTTTAATAATAACAAAAATCAAAATTCGTTTGATAGTAAATCGTTATTTAACGGAATATCATGCAAATTTAAAATTCAAATGTTCATACATTTTTTTTCTAAATTGAAGCTCAAGTTTTTTTTATAGTTAATTGAAAAACAACTTATGAATAACTTTGTGTTGAAGTTTTTTACCTTATGTACAAAAACCAAAAATTTAATGAATTATCAATTATAAAATTGTTTGTGAATTAACGATTTTGAAATATTTCGTTAAAATTTTAACTTAAGCTCTTAGAAAAAAAAATTTAACCAACATAAAAAACACTCGTCATTGTAAAATCTAAAATTTTACTATTAACCATAAATATTAGATTTATTATTATTTTGTTAATTACAGTAAAGGAAGTACAAAGAAAATGGAAAAGTCTTAGGAATTGTTTTGCACGCGAGCAATCTCGAAGAAAAAATATTAAGTCTGGCTCAGGTCAATCATCTTGGAAAACGTACGTATTTTATAATCAGTTATCATTTCTTGGATCAAGTGCAACAAATAGACCAACTACATCTAATGTCACTCCTACACATGATGATGATGATGATGATGATGATAATGATGAATTGGGCACAGAACAAAATACTCAAGATAGTGAACATTTTTTTGAGTCGACAGAAGAATCTCAAACTCGCAGAAATCAGAGACAAAAAAAAAAATCAAAATCAAACCATAATGAATCTGAAGAAAATTTGTTTGGAACTATAGCCAGAAGTTTAGAATTTAGAAACCAAATGGAAAAAGAAGCAATGGAGGATCAAGATCGACTATTTTTGTTATCTTTAGTGGGTGATTTAAAAAAAGTCCCCCCTCATTTGAAAATGCAAGTGAAATCAAATATAATAAATGTTATCAGTCATAGCCTCGCACTCCAACCACAAAGAATTGATTTTGATCCACGTTGTCAGTTAAATCCTCCAAATAGTTATCAAACATTACCTTTTACTCAACACCCATTTGGACTCCAACAAGCTGCTACATCTCAACAACCACTTTCAACATTTACACAAGCCTTTCCGAATCACTATACTAAACGTATGTCTGATGTTCAATACAATAATCAAAATATTAACTACGCAATGGATACTTCATCTACATCTACCAACAGTAATAATTCCTCGTTAGACGTAGAAAGTAGTCCACCAATTAATTCAAACTTGGTTAGTTACATAAATGATTATACATCCTCAGACAACTAACAAGTGCGTAATAAGTATTTTTGATCAGTTTAAACGAGTTGTTTTAAATCTACGTTTTATTTTAAATATTATTACTTAGTAAGTGATGTAAAAGTATACACACATTTTTTTATAAGAACGGTTAAAATACTATTTTTTATTTTATAATCTCATGTTGTTTAAAATTATAATTAGTTTTATTTATTTTCATGAGCTCATGTATTAATTAGATAAAAACTAAAATTAATAAAGTATTTGATAAAAATAAAATTGTTGAAAATGTCCTTACCTCAATGTGACAGCTAATCTTTCTTTCGTAGAAATTGGCCTTCTCATATTTGTTGTTTCCTTTTTAACACTCCTTTTAATTAAATCATGCAATTCAAAAAAGGACTTGGAGGACATGCGAAAATAATTGAAAAATTTTTGTTCACTTTTAAGTAAATCAGTAAACAAGCATGTAAAATGTCCTTTTTCATTTCTGGATTGAACAATAGGATGTACCCAATAAATCCTTTCAGTCCTTTTAGCTGGTTTATTTTTTTTTTTAATAAGAGAATACAACAGTATTGCCTCCTCCACCTTCATGATTACGACTAGTCGGGAGTACGATTAATATGCACGTACAATACATAATTAACAGACACTAGTGTACGGCAAGTGTCTCGTGTGAATCAATGAGACACTTTTGTAAACAGTAGCACGATTCTTGTGGTCGGCCACAAAGTGTCTCGTGTGAAAAAGCTCTAAATGTAGTCTAACTTAACTACCTTAGAGTCTAAGACTGATATTTTTTAGCTGTAGGTTCTATATTATATCATTAACTACCTATAATGACTTGATATAAAACAATTTATAACTATAAATTATAACTTATAACACAATGTATTATTATGTATAGGTATATACATAGGTATACAATACATATACAATAGGTTTTTTATTATGTATATGCGTTCATATTTATAATTACATTTTTTTCGGTGGATTTTCTTTCCTTGCGGTGTGTTTATTTTTTTGGTCTTTTTTCCGGGGGTTTTTTTTTTTGGGATTCCTATAGAACTGCTTACTGATCGGTAGTCAACTTCTATAAAATGACTTAATGGCGTAGTGGCAACATATTTTCTGGATTAGTCCCGAATGCACTTTCCTTGATATTTTAAATTGTACATGTCACCAAATACCTACATTTAATTGCTCTCGAGTAGTAGTATTAGTCATTAGAATTCATGACATTTTTCGAGTAGGTATAGTTTACTGTTCTACATTATGTTTGTACTTTGTGTCCTACATATATTATTTAAACACGAATATGATTCTCCGTTCAATATCGGACATAAATACATAATAGTAACAGGTACGAACAATAACAATAGTTACGATAACGCATAGTAAGAATAACAATGACTATAAAAACGTAGGTCACAACATATCACACTTTACCTGTACAAGTAGGTACTAAATAGATAAGTCAAAAAGTCGCATATACTACACCAGAGATGGCGAACCTATGACACGCGTGTCACTCCGTGACACGCGTAGTATACACTATTTTAGTAACACACACGAATGTGTAAAAGTTTGATAATATTAAAGTTTTTGAAAAAAAAATTCAAGGGTTATCGAATTAGTTGACACGCATTGAAAACAAAATCCAACCAAAATTTTTATTTGACACGCTGGTACAACAAGATACGCCATCCCTGTACTACACGAAAGCCAACTCATGTGTGATCTATAATATTTGGAAATCCATAGACCTAGGGATAATAATATATAAATTAATGTTCCTAGTTAGACTCGAAAACTACTGGACCATTTTCAAAAGTTTATCAATAGATTCCTTGAGACTAGATGAGTATATTTATGGATTATTCGTTCAACCCCCCCCCCCCCCCATGGATTGCTTTAGGGAGACTCAAGCATAAATTTAATCTTGGATCCCAAAAATCAAATATTTTTTTGTTTATTTAAATGTTTGCTATTATTTACAGATTATAATACTATTATAATAAAATGAATAGGTAGAAATAATATGGCATAAGTATAAACTTTTTTTTTTAATATATTTAAAAAAAAAAATAAATAACAAAATCAAATGTTTACTTACACACTAATTACAATGATGACTTTTATGATTTGATTTCTTAATTCTAAAAAATATTTTTGATATAAACACATGAAGACGAATACCAATCTTAACGATATTGGATTTACTATTTACGCCGCCTCTAATGGATTCATTATAATGAATCTGTCTCCAGTTTTTTGTGTTAACGTCAAAAATATGTCTAGAATAAGTAATTGAAAATTCGTACAATTAGTCATTGTAATTGTGTTTGAATTATTATCTTTCAACTTAATAAAAACGGAAAACGGTAAAAAAATAGATACATTTTAATCAGGCCAAAGTCGGGTTATACCTACAGCTATAGCTAGTTTAAGTTACCTATATAGGTGTTATAAGTTATAACCTGGTTAACTTAAGTTAAATTATAACTATAAAAATATTATAATGTAGGTATATATAAATAAATGTTTAATACATATAATACCTATATGTATAAGGTCGTACGATTTACAGTTAAATAATATCCGACATACACGCAAACATGTCACACAGTGATGTATTTAAGGTGAGGGAAAGCCCTCTCTGATTTTTTTTTTAAATTGAAATCCAAAGTAATATATCTTGAAACATGGGTAATATTTTAATACAGAAAAAACACGATATATAGTACTTACTACTTGGGGAGAGAACCTAAAAATGTTTTGACAACGAGTGACGTCAATAATACGGCCAGTAAGCGGAGAAGAACGTTTGCACACGTTGCACGTTGTTCCAAAATCCAAATCGTTTGGGTACAAATAGACATAACGTTTCACTTTTGGGCATAAAATATAATCAAAGCCGTAGTAATAGGTTTATCAGCGCTCCTAGAACTTCTAGGATCATCTATAGGATCCAGCTGGTCGCTGGTCATACTTACACCTTTGACATTTTTTTCACACCCCTCCTTCACAGACACACACACATATATACAAGATGTATACATAAATTGTGCACAAATTATTTTATTTTCATTAATAATAATATATAAATATAATACCTAAAGCTCTAAACATAGTTCGTCTTCAAGTTTACAACGATTCACTTACTTAAAACAATATTATAACTTATAAGTTATAAGTACCTATATAATTATATAAATATATACTACAAGCTGTAAATTGTTTATTAGAATCAATAATAATAATAACTCAACCTTTAGATATTTGACTTATTTGTCTATAATACAATATAATATAATGACGTAGGGACTTCGTGTATTAGCATAGTGTTAGACCGCAATGACGTCATTCAGAATACGTTTCAATAGAATCAGTTGTATTTGAGTATCTACTATCTAATGCAGTGACGCACGCCACATCGCCCATCGGTAATCAGTGGCAACTGGCAACGGCAATATTAGGCAAATCGTATTTCGTATTTATTCTTCAATAATTTTGAATATTGAATAGTGAATAATTTCCAATATATACTGAATAGGTTGACGACTCACGTTACTTATATGTTGTTTATTTTTTGTGTTGACCTACTTATGAATGGAAAGAAAACAAACATGCAATAAATACAATTGTACATTTATTGATAGATTGATTTCTCACTTTCCAAGTCAAATCTGTCTAAATACCTACATATATGTATTACGCGATAGGTACCTATACCATTATAAATATAAAATTACAATGCCCAAACCTATGTATCCCAGTTTACCGCTACGTAAAAGTTGTATCAATCAAATATTAAATATTTAAATAAAAGCTCTGATTCACATAATTCTGGGACCGGGGCCAAACAATTTTAGGGCCTCATAAACATAGACAAAATATCGATGCCCCACAAATAAATATATTTCAGAGATAAAAAAGATTTTGATATTATAACATTATTTAATAATATACCAACTTCAATACTTAAATTTGTAAAACACAACAGACATAAAAACGTAAACGTTCCCCACCATTATAACGTTTTCGTGACGCCCAGACAGAGTCAACTGTCGTGTTTACGAGTATATAACTTCAATATAACTTCAACTGACGACTGTACAACATTTCGTAGAAAAACAACGTAAACACAATTTGTTTGGCTAATGAGTAATAACTACCTATATGTTTTTATTATCTAACAGTTTAAATCCTATGTCCTTACCATGATCATCCTGCTCAAAATAGACGATAGCATATTAATAACATATCATCCACTATCCATATATTATTATAGGAAACGTACTACCCGTCAGTGGCCCACTATTGTTTGATATCTATTGTGGACCAGCCCTCCCCTTAATCCAGGCTTGTTTGAATTATAAATGGGTTGACTGGTTGAGAGATATCTTATACTACATTTGATCATTTGATCGACTTGATGTATCAACAAATTAAACAGGTATCTGCTGCGCCATGATAAAGTAAACAAATACTAAACATGTACTTATAATGAATTATAACTTATGCTTCTCTCTAGTGTTTTTGATAACTTCTCCTTCCAGCCTACCTATTATCAATAAACTTGCACTACAAACTCATAATCATATCCATATGACTAGTGTGATAGTAATTTGAATAACTTGTATTGTAAATGCTAAGTTTACTTTAGTATTAGGGTAATTTTTAACTGACATCATACTAGTATTTATAAACAATGATGTTATAAGTTACAGCTTACAGTTTTCAAAATACAATCTACAATGTTCTCAATGTTAATATTAAATTTAATAGGTATTTAGTTACTTACAACCACGGACTAGGATATAATAAAGATATATCTTAGTCCGTGCTTACAACACACAATATAGAATGGGCAATTTATGACTTGTGTAATCACCACAGACTAAAATATCTTAGAGGTAACTGCATAATGAGTATCACAAGGTATAAACATTGTTTTTATTTATACAAATTTAAAGATAGATGATTATTAGAGTACCGTATAAATTATAATAATTTAATACACAACTATTAAAGACAAAAAACATTTAATTTTATTATCACTTCAATATAACACTACACTTTTTTACATGATGTTAATAATGGTTTTAAGTGTTTGAAATATTTAATTAAAAAATATAGATTGACTAGCCAAACCACAAGCATAGAATGATTGTGAATAATGTCTATTTAAAAATTGTCTAATTTGATTTAACAAAACACTATTAAATAGTACAAAAACATTCAAATCTTAAAATTTAGTATGCTTTCTCAATTCCAAATACATGATTAATAATTAAAAATAATTTAATTTAGTAGAACGTTTTAATATGTATAGAATTAAAATTAAATAATAATAAAATAATAACAAAACATTAGGGCGTGAGGTACGCATTTAATTTATGTATCACAATAAAAATGGAAGGAACATAATGGGATTTAGCGAATATTTGGCAAAATAAATAGACTCAAAGTAAAACAAAAAAAAAAATGAGAAGTAATATTGAAAAATGGAAAGATAAGTTGAAAGAAGACATTACATAAATAAATACAACGAACAATTTATTCGGCTTTTGAAAGGCCATTTTCAGTCAACAAGTTGTCACACTCTTTATAAAGAGACTGGAGTGGTACATGTAATAATTCAACCAATTCTGGAAAACGTGGCTCTGCAAAGTTCAAATTAAATATAACTGACACAATAGTTAAAATGTTTTTAGATAATTAAAATATTAAATATAAATGTAATCAATATTTTTTCTGTATTAAACTCACCATTTTCTGGATTAATAATTCCATGTCTGATCAAAAAATCAATAATTACAGGGCAACTAGTAGTCTTGAAGTCTGGAGATAAAATTCTGTTCACAGTTTCCTAAATGATTACTTTTCATAAGAGCGGAATAATAACACAATAGATAAAAAAAAATATGTACAAAATAAATACTAACACTAGCAGTCACCAATTCAAATTTTTCTACTTCATTATCTTGATTACGAGGCACAAAATCTGGAGGTAATTCTAAGTCAAATACAAACTCTGTGTCAGGGAACAATCCTCGTTCACTTTCATAAAAAAAACTGAAACATAAAAAGTATATTTATATTTAACAGAAAATTAATTTACATTAAAAAAATAGCTTACGACACAGTCCCAGCTGATTGCAAATTTTTCATAAGGTCTGCAGTCAATGATGCTTCTTCTTCTCCTTCTTTATGAGCAGTGTGTATAACACTGTTTCCAACCGATAAACCTCCAGCAACCATGTTATCCCATTTCCCAGGCCATGTCTGTTTAGTCAATGATCTCTGTTGTAGCCAAATGCATAATCCTTTTTGTGGATGGTTCACATAACCATTTATGTCGACACCATAATTACAAATCCCAAATAGACCTACAAATAAAATAGCAAATACAATTAGGTATTCAGATAAAAATTGTTTATTGTCTGGAACATTTACAAGTAGCAGACCGATCCATTTTTAGCAACGGTTGATCAGCAAACTTTGTCCGAACTTCATAACACTAAATTGAAACATATTTCATTAGTTACTTTTATAGTTTTACAATATATCTTTTATAAGAAATAATGAAAATACAAGGAAATACAAATTTGAAGGTTGTTAAAATCATGCAAGTAAACACTAAATAAAACAAAAACTGTTATATTGATAAAAGAAGCATGTATGTGTTAATACCTCATCCCTCCACCCTTTCAGCGTTAAAAACAACTTTTTTTCTTTCATTTCTTTAAGTACAGACTCGATGTTTGCAGAACGTTCATCGTAATCCCTGAAAGCTGGGTTCAGCGTGACACTATTGGGGTTGACGATAAACACATTCGGATAGCGGCTTAATTCTATTGTGACGGTAGCCTGGACCAACCCGACTTGAATGCCGTCTACGATGAATGCGCGGCATTCTTTTTTCTGTAATCCTGTGTGTTGACAGAGGACGATTGTTAGTGGGTACGGTTTATAAAAAAGTAAATCACTTAGTGGGTATGGTTATAGGTAAACAAACTACGATAGGACACAATACAATACTACACATATATCATTATAATAGAACAATCACTAGCACAGGGTTTAAGGAGACACACGACGTACCGTTCAAGTAAAAGCTGTTGAACTTGTGCGCTAGTTTTAAAAACTTGGACATTGTACGGTGGTGATGTGCATGTGCGGCAGAATCGTTCATCACCGAATGAGATACACGCATACACGGTTGTGGTATCACCGCCGCCTCCGCCGGTTCAATACGTCATCATTTGACGACGGTAATGACGCAACGGATCGTCCGTGAACCCGATTGAAGCGATGGCAATATTATTATGGTGAAATATCGAAATAACGTCCGACGGGAGCGACACAGGTCGTACGCTGGTCGACGTGGGCACTGACGACGATAATAGACAAAATATTAAATTGTTATTAATAATTATTATTTTATATTGGTGGCGTTCACTGCGGGCGGGAGCCGTGCAAAGAGAGAATAATATTAAATCAAATAATATTAATTATTAATATCGCATAGGTATTCGCATTTCGCATTTGGAAATCCGATAAATTTATTGTTAGGTGATAAGAAATAATGGATGAACTTTAACCAGGTAATCGATGTACCAAGGGGTTGAAAAATGGCGCAATATACAGAACTTTCAAAACTTTCGCCGTACTCTGTACGCCCACGCGATTTTGAAGTATACAGCGATCCAGGAATAAAATGTATTGTTGAGTGATTACATTGATTAAGAATTTCCAACAGTTTAAAATAAAATAGTTTTATAATTAAAAATAAAACGCAAGTTCAAAACGTTATAGTACAAGTCGTTTGGCGTGCGAATGTGCTAGGAACTCAATGGATATTAATATTTTACGGTATAAAGACTAGAGACTTACGAATATTATGGTCTTATCCGGAGTTCGTCCTTCGTCCTCATCCGGAGTTCGTTAGTGTGAGGGCTCCCGGCTTCTGTAGGACCAGAAGCCTATAGAACTATTGAACTTGACATGGTGTACTGTGTATAGGTATTTCTTAATTATTATATATTTATATGTATGTTAACAGTACCTATTGTATATATATAACTATTAACTGTATAATATTTAAATGAGTTTACACGAATGACTATAATAATATTACGTTTGGTAAGTCTTATTACCTAATTACGTTTATACTTTATAGATTGTAACGGTGTCACACATCCGTGATCAGTTTTACAATTTTTTTAGTAGAATCTTCAATAATAATTAATTACTATTCTAATGATTTGGTTATAATAGGGTTGTCAATTTTCCACATATTCAGGGGTGGATCCTAAGTTAGGGAACTGTTGGTCTGATCTTTCCAAGAGGCCACTTATTTGGGTTAAAAATGGATTAAACATATTTTATACCTTGCAATAAAAAAACATTTATTTTGTTTATGGATGAAATTTATAGTTTAACATTTTAAATCTATATATATAAGAATCTAACTTGATTTTGGAGACGAAGGAAACCGGTTTTGAAGCCTCATTATTATAATAATAATAATTAACTAATTACCAATTATTTTCATATATTCTCCGATAACGATGTCTGTTTCTTTTTTTTTATTTCTTTTTTTTTATTTTATAATCGTTATATTATTTGTATAGCCAAAAAATAGTCTTATGTTTTAAATTAAATTATAAAAAAATAATTTCTTCCGGAGGAAGATCGGGCAGATAGTATATTATAAAAGCTATTATGTTAATAAACACTTTGTAGGTACCTATTATTATTTTATTTTATCAGTTTTCTTATTTGTTTCGTTTGTGCAAAGGTTTTTATGGCTCAAAGTTCATTTTTTCCGCTGTACATTTCTTGTTATACTTACTAAGTATCGAAAGGTTTGATCATTTATCTTCAGTTATTGTACAGCGAAGAAACGTCTTAACTAATTTACGCTGACTAGAACTTTTTCAGCCCTACAGGCTACAGCAGTAACACTGCTACTATGCCGTGTACACAAAATTGCATACAGAGTGGATATATAAAAAAAAAATGTCTTTTGATGAAGCAGCAAACGTTCCTTTTGGTACGTATTGCACATAATATAATAATATGATTCACTAAACTTTCTATTAAAACGATATACAAATAAGAATAATTATTATAAATTGAAACAGTGTGAACTTGGTGCATACATGGCATTAATTTTTAATTTAATCCAAGGGTCCAAGTGTCCAACTGCCTGTGGTTTGAAAAGAGTCAAAGTCGCCAACTGCCCAATTTCGTCAACAAATATTAACTGTGGGTCAGCTAACCTCCTGAACCCCTTTCTAGATCCACTTTTGCATATGTCCCGGTTTCGTGACTTGTATAATTTGGGTGGATGTAAACTCCGCCACAAGTACCTTTTTTAGTGTAAAAAAACACGAGGGTGTCATACTAGTCATAGTATCATATCTTCTTAATTCACTTATTATTGAGGGGTGTCATAATTTGTTATTTCTCTTTTTTAAAAATTTAAATTTTTTGTAAGCATTGTTATTGACAAATAAACGTTTTTTACATTGTTAATAATAATCTATACAGGCATGTACCATACAAAAAACAATATTAATGTGGGGAAGGATATTCAAAAGTAAAAAATTGAAGATGTTACTATCGTAAATTAACAAAATATTGTTAATTTATCGTTATGACGTAGATATTGACAATTGTCATTCAACATTTTAAATGTGCTTGATACCTATCGATATTTATACAAATTATATAAATTATTATGAAGGTATATGTGGATTATATCTATTTGAAACATTTTTTTTAAAAAAATGTTGGGAGAAGGGTTGAACCCAAAATCACTCGCTGTATGTGCCTAAATCAATATTACCTATATTACCAATATTACGAGAATATTATTATTTTTTCGATAATAATAAACATAATAATTATAGCCGAACGTTTAAACTCGCTTCATTGTATTAAACTGCAACATCTATAGCAGTCATTAATAAACGCCTATCTAATGAACAATGGTAATGTCCACCGAATATGATTGATCTAAAATTGATGTAATTCTTCTAAACATTTTATTTGAAACAATGATGACACGCAGTACTCAATAGTATTGTACCTATTTACAATATGTGGACTGTGGGTAGTCTGTGAATAGGCATAGGCAAGACCGGCTACGATTAGGGAATGTTTTTTTAGGTATTTTCACACCTTAATCACGATTAAAGCATGACCGACTTCATTGTTGTAAAATAAATGTGTGACAATAAAAAAATATATTATTATATATTCTGTATCCCTGCTTACTATAGGCCTGTAGCATAGAATACAGATTTAAAGAGGTTGCAACTTGCAAGTTTCATAACTTATTACATATAAAGATATTTCTTACGGCGTAACAAGTAGGCAATTGAGCTACGTCGGGTCCATATTGTATGATATATCTTCGACAGCAGCAATACAAAAATAGTAAAAATCGTAATATTATAATAATTATTAATTAATAATCATTTCAATCGAAACCATCCATATTTCATTAATCATTTTCATTATAATTTAAAAATATATTTTAACTTTTATATGTACCTACTAAGATATAGTTATTGGTCTGTAGATCACCTTCATTTAAAGAGTAGGTACTGTCTGTTGAGTATTTAAAAAAAAATAAGTTGCGTAATCCAACGTTTCCCAATCTCTTTGTTATAACGATCCATAAATTAACCTATTAAATGGTAGTTGCCCCCCTCCCAAAAAAAATCAATGAAGCCATCATATAGACATTAGACATATTAATCATCATTTTTACTATAAGTAATTAGATCATTTAATTTAAATATAGGTACCTAGGTAATGCAATAGGTACTGAATTATTAATACTTAAATATGTTAAATATAAAGATTAAATTTAAATTCAAATATTTAGGATTATTTCAAAATAAAATAATAATAATAATAATAATAAAAATGCAAAAATACAAGTTGACATAATATAATAATAAAAATAATTTAGTTTGTATATAGTCTCGTAGTTTCAGTTTACTGCACAGTGCTCAATTGTATGGATAACCAACATACGAGCACCAATGACAGTGTGAAACAACGGTCAACGATACCATCGACATCCACCAGTCGCATTTACTGAAAACTGATAAATAATGAAACAACAAATATTCCACTATGGTAATAAAATAGTACCAAAATCACTATAAATATAATGGATACCACCAAAGTACATACTTTTATCCTACATTTGTATTACCAATGCTTAATACTTCACAATACTATATGTATTGTACGACACGTACGACGTACCTATAGACTGCACGTCAACAGTCGCAGAGGTTTTTTTGATGAGTCCGAACGCATTACTTACATATTATATTATTTTCAAGAAACAAAATTCCCGAAATATGCCATGCGGCACTTCTTAATGTGTCTTTATCGTATTAGTATACATTTATTTTATTTTTAAGGATAGATAAATATACATATTTACCAATTTGATGTTAATAAATTAAAGTTGTGTTTGCAATTGATCTTTTTTTTTTTTTGGTCACCAAAAGTTAAATTCAAAATGTTAGGATCAGGTTATCAGGTTGGGAAGTTCTCAATGAGAACCGCTGGTCCTAGGTTCTAAAGGTATCAAATAAAACATAACATTCACATTTTTAATTAATTTACTGGTAAAATTATTTTAATATATATTATATTAAGATTTTATTTTTAATTTTGAGAGGAGTATTGATTGTACAAGGATATTGCACATAAAAAAATGGTAAAATTTTCTACTTCAGTATATTTTCTGGTAGCTAAGTGAATCTAATTGGTATTTTTTTTTTGGGGGGGGGGCATAGTCTAGTATTCATATATTAATTTACGTTTTTTTTGGAAAAAAATTTTTTATTGTTAAAACCACAATGGCTGAAAAATTGGCTTATAATACCTAGCAATAGAATTTAAAAAATTATGTTCCATAAGTTATATTATAATATACATATATGTGTAAATAAATTATAAAATACCAACAAATAGATTAATACTTACCTGAACAATATTCAACAATATTTACTCAATTTATATATTTAGTATTAGATCATTTTTGTGTTTTAAATATTTACTTCATTTTCTGAACAACTATTTTATGTGTCGAATCACTATTTTAATTTAAAATAATGGTTTATTAGTTATTAAATATGGCACTATACCACACATATTATACATATATTTTTATTTATACATTCATGTTTTTAGAAAATTAAATAAATAGTAACTTTTATTTAATTACACATAAATATAACTTATATTCATGAAACAAATATACATTACAACATAAAATGTGAGATAAAAAAAAGATTACAATTAATAAGGGGTATTACAAGCATGTTGATATGATAGCTTTAATTTTTTTTTACAAAATTTAAATACAATGCATTGATTGCAGTCTTATTTTTTTCTTTTTTCAGCTGTTGGAAATTCAGTCATACCTTTTCCACCTAAACCGCAGGTGCCAATTCCAACTCGTCCATTAACATTATCGGGACTGGCGAATATGCTTTTTTTTGGTATGCCTTTTTTCACACCCTAAACATATAAAAAAATATTCATGTATTAGTATATTAATGCAAAAGTAAATGAAATAATATTTCACTATATTTTAAATACTTTAATGTTTTAAAAATTCTTACAGATCTTGTATATATATCCTATAATAAAAATATAATATACTTTTTTATTACCGTCTGCTAATGAAATATATTAAGTTATATTATCAGTGCTAATTTCTAAAACTTCAATAGTTAATTCCTCTTTTATAAAAATTGATGATAATTTGAATAAGAAAATACTTGTTATAAATTATACTATATTTCATGAGAATACTCCTTCTTCTAATATACATTATTAAAGTTAAAATGTTGTAATTTAAACATATTGTTAAAATATGTACTATTATTAACATTAGCTAACCTTGAAGTGTTATTCATTTATCATAAACAATTTTTTCTGTGTGCAAAATTATATTAAATAAAATATATTTGAATATCAAAATGGGACTGTATACTATAACTATATCAATAATATAATGTTAAAACATTTTTATTTTTTATAGAAAACTACATTTTTCTTGGGTATTTTAAACTTAGTTTTTAAACAATTTGGTTTAGGTTTTCAGTACATTTATTTTATCTATTAACCAAGATTATAGAGTATATCTTACTTTAGTGGCAAATGCTAGCCATTTATTTTTTTCTACTTCACGTTCCTCTTCTAATTGTTTAAACCTCTGCTGTTTAGCAAGTTTTCTCTTCTTCTGATATTCTCTATACTTGGCTACAGGTTGTTTTCTATTAACATACAAAATTAGTTTTAAAATTTAAAAAATTTAAATGTTAAAATGTTTTACTTGTGTTTCATTTCATTAGGATGAGTTCTAGGTAAATCTTTTATAAAATCTAGTGTTGTCACTGCAGCAGCTTTTTGTCCATCAATTAAGACTGCCACTGCTTCTCCATCAATAGTCTCAATAGTACCTTCGTAGAATTTACCATCATCTGCAAGCTGTGCCAAACATCTGTCTCCTGATTTCCATTCTCCTTTCGTCTTAGCAACAGATGGTAGTATATCAGGCTGATACGATGATTCTTTTTTTGTTTGAACTAAAAGATAAATAAATATATTAAATATAAAATATTATTTAATATATTTAAGATAAATACAAAGTATGTTAACAATGTAATCATTTCATTATTTAATATTGACAATATTATCATCCCACTATTTAATGTTTTAATACACATACCGACTTCTTTTTTTGGTTGAGTTTGGGTTCTTACAAGTTCAGCTGTTAATTCAATTACTTCTTCTAAATCAGTTTTTAATTTCATAAGTTCTGGGTCATCAGGACTATTAGTCAATGCAGCTTCTACCTATAAGTAGAACAAAATATAAGTAACGCAAATATTACATTCACATAAGTATTTTCCCCAAAGTAAACTAATTAGGGCCTATAACAAAAGTGTATTGAATTGATACAATATATTATGAACTATGGTCAATAGACCATAGCTTTGCCAGACAAGCCTTACCGGTGCGTATAAACGATTACATCCGGATGTAGAATGTTCAACATGGCTGAATCCTAAAAATTCCGACAATCTTTTAAAAATCTTTTCTAAAATCTCAACCAGGAGTACTTTTATTTAAATACAGACCATGGTTGTTTGTTTTTACAGTAACCAATCAGTTGGTGAATAAATATCAGCTACAACTGTTCCAACTGCTGTTGCCAGGTGAATTGGGTATAATGCAGGTAAAGCAAATCTGAAGACTTTTATGAACAGCAAATTTTCTCTACAATTTTATAAACCGGGAGAAATTATAAATTATATTTTAATTAGTTGTTTGCCTAATTGTAATACCTTGATACTTTGGATGATGCCGATGTAAGATACAGATGATGCTAATAATGTTTCCCATTGCTGCATCTATTTATTATTAAAAAAAATATATTTATGGTGAAGGATTTTTACTATAAAATGTTCCTATCTATTTTAATGATCTGTAAAAATGGTGTTCTTTTTAAAAGTTGAACTCCAATAGTCCAATGAGTGAGGATTTTATTTAATCTCAAAAATAAGTAAATAACTACATACATTTTTTTATTAAGCACTAATATGAGATAGAATATGATTATGGATAAACAAATTAATTTAAAATAAAAATTTAGAAAAAAGAATATTCAATTTAAATTTGTTTATTAAAACAATAATTTGAAGTACCTGTAATGGGCCTTTTAAAAATGATAGCATTATCTTCATATGCTATAATCTAAGCAAATACTTAATCCTATTAGTCAGTAAAAAAATATACCTAGGTAGGTTATGCATTATATTATTTCAATTGACGGTTGTGTAATATCAGTTTTGCCCGATGGCAATTAACTAAAACATTTTATTTTTAAATAATTCTTAAATTCTACTTATTTAAAAATCAAAAATTATTTTTTGCTTCCATTTATTAATTTAAATATGAGTATAAATTGTTATACTAACTCAAGAATATCTTATAATACTAAATGAAGAACATTTAAAAATATGTACATAGGTAACCTACTGATAATACTATGTTTGAATTGAACAATTATTTATTCTTTTAAACCAGTGTTTCCCAACCTTTTTACCACCACGGACCACTTTGACAATATTTTATAGGTCGCGGACCACCTCAATTTTACGAAAACTAGGAAGACCTTTTTTTTGTTTATTAACAAGTATAATACGGTTCCTTAATAAGTCGTAATGTTTATAACAGACCACTGGTGGTCCGCTGACCACCGGTTGGGAAACACTGTTATTAATTATGGTCAATATTATATAAAATTCACTAAAAATAAATTGTATAGATAACCTACCCAAGAAATCTTAAACAACATATTTAAATGTATTGAAACTATGCTAGGATTTAATTTAATAATTTATTTTAAATATCAACAACCATCTTTAATACTAGAATTAGATGTAATATTTTAAGCTTTTAAAAGCATATCTTAAACTAACATTTACTGATTCAAGGATATTTCAAATTTTTATATATATTTGTAAAATAATTTGGTTCATTATAATATAATATAATACTCATATTTCATATTTTTTTTTAATAATGTATTTGCTAGCGTTTTAGTAAATTAAAAGATAGTAATACACAATTTTTACATATCAAAAATGTGCAACTCCATCAGGAGAGTTAGTAATTTAATTTTGTACATAATTTTTTATTGTTTTAATGTAATCTTAACTTATACTGTAGTTTGTAGGTTTTAATTTTTAGAAAAGTCTATTCTTATAAATCTTATTTCTTTTAAGCTTTAGTTAGGTTTAATACAATATATATTATGTTATGAACTAAAATACAATTAAATGATTGAGTAGATACTGGGTACCTACCAGAAAATAGCATTTTAAATTCTAAAAGGTACTTCAAGCTGTTTGTTAATTTTGTAAATATTTATGTGAATACTGCGAATAAATTAAGCCGGGTTTATAAGTATGTTTTCTGTAATGTTGTGTCCAAAAGTTGAGCTCGGCCCAACTGGAAATTTCAACGTTGATTAAGGTTAGTGAATGATTACAAAATCCAATCAAAATACTATTAAAGACACTTGACACGTAGATGTGTACCCAGCTCAAAATCAAATAGATTTGGATTATAATTTTTGAATGTTATGTAAATCAATGTGATGTGTGAAACATCCAGATGGTTTTTTATTTTATGAACACAAGATAAAACATACATACCTATTAATGTACATTGAATACAATATGATAGATTTATTTATTATTATTTTATACAATATGTGACGACATTGTAGCAATAAGCAAAAAGTGAAAAATAATTACCTGCTGCAGTTGCAATTTGTAGTTGATTAACTCGTCCGCCATTGATAGCTGTTGTGTAGTTTAGAACGTGCAAATTTGTTTGCGAAGGATTTATTATACAAACAATGACGTTGAAGCTGCCAAAACGTATAGTTTTGGTAGATATCTTTTGAGTTATATAAATATATTATATATAAATCTGTGCGTGTGTTTAGCAATACAAACCGTGACCTAGGCGTTTGATCTATAACCACTAACGAGTGTTAAATTAAAAAGATCGTTACTGTCCTAAGACGTTGGTCTTGAATCGTGATTAAACGTTTTCTGATTACAATTTACGAATACCGAGTAGGCACAGTACAATGCAGCTGTGGCGATGTAGAAAATAAAATTTAATTATAAATAATAGTAATAGTCGGAACTCGGAGAGGCAGAACAGACCGTCAACAAGACAACAACGAAGTATTAGTAGTAAGTACAAGTTACAACTTCCAACCAGACGAACTACGAGGTACAGAAGGCCGTGTCAACTCAATTATACTCATACAGTCGATGATTATTATACATATATATACATCAGCTATATTGGACCGGAAATAAAAAAGAATGCTCAGTAGAAGACCAATATTCACTATCACTGCGCATCAGGCTGACATGACGTCACGTTCCCGCCAAATATATTATCAATATAAAATTCAAATATTATGTTTATATCACAGATTATATTAATTATATTTTTATTATATTAGATTTTATTATTATTTTAATATAATCTGTGTTTATAATATTTTATATCAAGAATTAAGATTTGCATGTGCATATTTAAATTCGTAGTTTTTGTGTTTGGAGTTTACCAATTGCGTTTAAAGTTACCTTTTCATATACCAATTGCGCTCTAAACGTTTTAGGGTTGATATACCAATTGCGCTCTATACATTTTACATTACCTTAGGAAAACTTATTATTTGATTAAATATATATATATGTAAATATTTTTGGTTTTTATTACATATTAACCGATTTTTTGCGAGTATTAATTTTAGCGGTCGTGTTGTAACTTGGTCTGTTGCTTTTCTTTTCAACGAATTTGTAACAATTTGTCTATTTATATTGGCACTTGCTTCGTGGTTATGATCAAAGTTAGATTTTAAAAGTACCGTTTCACTTAGATCACTTAAAAAATTCGAAGTACACGATTTAATTGTACATCTCCATTTTATTCCGTTTTTTGAGATGGTACATTGTCGAAACTTAAACTCATCTAGAACTTATAATGGTTTACTTTTTTCACTCAGAGCTTTTGTAAAACGATCCATATTGTAACGTAAAACAACTCGAACTAATACCAAGAGACTAACAAGAAATAAGTATTGGGTAACATCAACGTGTTATTCTATATATTGTATATTGTGTGCAACGAAACAATTAGGCCGATAAAATATATCCGATGATAATGAAAACTTGTTTTCGTACATCACTCAAATGCATACTTCCGTGATCAAAATATGTGCGTGATAATAATAATGTTTCATAAAATTCCCGATACTGTTATAAAATATATTAAGTCACTTAAGCTAGTAATCAATTGATCAATAAATATCAGGCAAATTTGAATACAAGCGCAATTGGTATATTGACCGTAAAATATAAAGAGCGCAATTGGTACACTGACCCAAAATTATATGCAGTTCAATTGATATATTGACCCTAAAATACAAATTTGGTTTTAGGCGCAATTGGTCCATAGCCTTTGTGTTTAATATAGATCTTATAATAATAATTAAAATTATATTTACCATAGTGCATATTATACCAATAAAAGACCTTTTATATTTAAACCGGCAACCATTAAGTTCATATTACCCTAGTCCACCCCTTGCACCGCCACTGTCCCAGTCTCAAACAAAACCTATACATCCGAACCCAAATTTCTATCATGAATCTATAATTCGGTTATAAAACAAACAGCAAAATTATTTTCTACAGTATTTTACTCTCTGAAAGTCAGAAATATGACCACACACCTACGCGAACTACTACTATTGTACCTATCTACAAACGCTAAGGTGTTCAATGAGTTATAAACGTACTAACATTAACATCACCCAGAAAGACCGTCCTTTACTCCTTTGGACTCATCATTCTTAGCCCAACTATATAGTCATAAATAATTATTCAACCACAACAAAACAAAACGATTCGTCGTAGGCTGTATGCGCCCATTCGCCGTTAATTGTTACACAATCTACATGACACATTGCAATGGGATTCTGTTTATGTTTGGATTTAATTTGCTTTAAATATTATCACATATTATTATTCACACACTCAACTATATACTCTTATATTTACTTGTACAAGCAACTTCTATGTTAAATCGAAAATACTTCATATGTTTGTAAAATAGCCGTCAGACATTAGAATTATAAAATATTCAAATAAAATAAATATAGGTATTCACACAAGCAATGGCACAGATTATATGAATATTTTCGGAAACGGATGTCTTTCTATCCCCTTCCTAGTAATTTTGTTTTCCGAATATGCTCCACGCCTCCACTCATAATACTCACGAGCGTTCCTGTGTCCCTCAAAATTCGAAAATTGTTATTGTTACTTGTTAGTATATTAGTGTTTAATCACATTAAAATATCTAAACGGTACTCCTCCACCACAAAAGCTCAAAGTCCGGCTCAAAAGTTCTAACTTCTAAGGGGTGGGGTGACTTGAACGAATTGAATAACGAGTGAATAATAAAATATATGAATAATACCATGAAGTCGGCTTATGAACCAACCGCTAATTAACCCAACTCCGTAATTTATCAAACATTAAATTGATACTGGTCTAGTAGACCCCAGCCAAGAAAATAATCCCCCTGCCACTTAAATATTTCGTGTTTTCGATATTCTATTCAATAATCAATAATTTAATATTTAATTATAAAAAATATTCATATTAATATAAATTCATAAAAAAAGTAAGAAAATATTAAATAATTTAAATTACATTCATTCGGTATTTATAAATAAAATTATAATATTATTATATAATTATAATAAAAATTGTACACAACATCAGCTAATACATACAATAATGCAGAAAATAATAAAAAATTAAGCACTCAACAGTAAACCACAAGTATAACTTTGTAGATCCTATAAGTAGAGCTCACACGCAGAATGTTGAGAGGATGTGGGGAAGTGCTAAATGGGGCAACAAGAAACGAAGAGGGACTAAGAGAAACTTTCTAGATTCTTATTTGTCAGTTTATGTGGAGAAGTAAATTAAATGGCCGCGATCCATTTAATGAAATTTTGAAGGACATAGCAGAATTTTGGCCACCTGCATAATTTTTTATTATTTTCTGCATTATTATATGTATTAGCTGATGATGTGTATAATTTGTTTGCGATTTATTAATTAATACCGAATGAATGTATGATAAATTATTTAAATTATTTTCTTACTTTTTTTATGAATTTATATTAATATGAATATTTTTGATAATTAAATATTAAAATATTGATTATTGAATAGAATATTGAAAACACGAAATATTTAAGTGGCGGGCGTCAACTAAACCTGAGTGTCGGGGGTCTACTAGACCAGTACCATTAAATTTGTTTTATAAAGTCGAGTAAGTTGCTCTGCTGTAAATCAGGTTTTTCAGTATTACTTGTCAATTCAATTTCGATTTTGAAAGGAGATGGTTTAACCTCTATTTTTTAATATGCGTTCATTGGAACGTTTAACTTAAATTATATTAAAAAATATAATCAATAGACAGTAAGTCATTTAATTTTCTATTGGTAGGTATAGGTACCTCTAGAGTGTAGTACCTAAACAATATTAGGTATGTTGAATTAATTTTTGGTAAAAACATAATGATATATTATGTCTATAATAATTTATTTGTATCATAATGAACTATTGTTATTTTTTTTTATTATTATTTATTTTAATGTTTAACTATAGTTAATTTTTACATACATAATATTTTAAACTTAAAAAACCAGCTGGTGCCTTTTTAAATAATCACTGTTTAGTGAACTCATTAATTTGAATTTCATTTTCGGTTTAAGGATTTAAAGATTGTGTTTAAAATGTAATTTTTTTTTGATTCTTAAAATGCATTTGCCTGTGGGCGCCTGAGCACCCCTTCCCATTTTTTTTTTTATTTGGACTTAAGTTAATTTTTTACATACATAATAAGGTAACTCATTAAATACGCCGCTTTTATTGACATGGTGAAAACGTGAAGTTTGTAGGTGTACCATTATGTTTTCGGATGATGGATATCATATTTGCAAATATCAATATTGTTCCCTAATTATTTCTATCATGATTTATGGTTGATCCTGTCAATTGATCCTTAATATAAATTGTTGATATTTTATTATACTAGTCAACAGAGATTCTTTTATCAAGATATTCTTCTCCTCAGTTCTTTTACCCTTTTAAAAATTCTGTCGTTAGCTTTTCCCTATAGTAATAATATGTTCCATGTTTTCTAGTTTTTGAGCTTTTTATTGTTGTTAAAAGTTTTTTCTCTTTCCTATCTTTTCCAATACTTTTTGATTATTAATACGAATATACAATCTGTCCATTAAGTTTTTAAAATAAACCTATATGTATTGGCAGCAGTAGCAAGGTTCATCCATTCAACATATTTCCCTATCATAATATAAAACTATAAAAGTATGACTCTTTTGCGGATATTCTACATACAATTTATATTGTTAATATTAACACGGTATATATTTTGTACTGAATTTTATACCCCTGGTTTGGGCTAGTCTCGGCAATAACTTGCAGGGTATGGGACTATATACCATGTATCTAAAATGCTAACATAAACATTTTGGAGAAAATTTCAACTATCCACAGGAAACAAAATGACTAGTAATATTATTATTATTTTTTTTTTATTATGGTTTTTTTCAAATATTATGTTCACTAATATAGCATAAAATAATATAATATAATAAAACCTTACAATGTATTTATATAGATACGGTACACCCTAAATTTTAATTTTTTGGCTTTTGTAAGTTCTGGACTTTTTATTGTAATTGTTATTATTACACTAGAGATTTCAAATATCTCTATAATAAGCATTCTGATAAGACAACTATTTTACAAAAATGTAATTTTTCTGGTGGTTACTCAACAATAAAAAAAATGTTTTTAATGTATTTTTTTATTTTTCAGCTATGGGTAATGAGAATATTAATTTAAAACTAGACATAATTTTATGAGGAATTTATTCATCATTGTAACAGAACAACACCCATTACACGCTACTTTTAAATACAAAAATCACCAAAAATCCAAGAAAACACAGGAACCCTGAAAATAAAAAACATTATGTAACGGCGAGATGCACACAGAAATAACCAACCGAACTGGGTTTCTGCAGTGGGAGCTTTACCAAATTCAGAGCGGATAGTGTCAGGAAGCAACAACGGAACTATTTAAATTGTGTAGGTGCACACACAACTTTAAGTCATTATTACCATTGTTCCGTGTTTCTATTAAAGATTTTATAAATGGATTGGTATTCACAAACGATGGTAAATGATGGGTTGTAGTCATCAGAGATGAACATGGATTTGGCAGGTAGCATAATTAATTAACTAGTGTCAAAAACAGCTTGCATGTAATTAAACTGAGGTTTATTAAAAAATAAATTATACAGGACATAACTTTTGGTGTTTTAATAATAAAAAATAAAATTTTATAGAACTTTACTCTTTGAGAGTTGTTGTAATTGCCCATAAACTTTAGAAGGTGGAGATCCAAGAATAAGATTACAAATAGCTCTCATAGCTACTTGTATATTTTGAAATGATCCTAATATATGAATTTTTGTGTCTGCCAACACTATTCTGGTTTTTGTAACATTTTCGATGGTGAACTTTGTTCGTCCTCCTTTACCAGCCAATCGTCCAATTGCACGGGACAAATGGTCTCCTTTTAATGTTTTTACGTCTTTCACCTAAATCAAGAATTAACCAATATTATAATTTTAAAAACCATATACACATTATATATTACAATTTTTTTTTTTTTTTAAACATCATTTGTCATAACAAACAGAGGTAATTTGATGAGTATCAATTTTATATTTTTATTAACATGCAAATGCTACAACTACTACTCTAAAAAATATTGTTTGGTAACACCAAATTTTTTTTATGAGTAGCTCTGCTTTTAATGCTATTGTTTTATTAAATGTAGCGAGTTAATTTGTCACTATTTTTTTGTATTTTTTTTTTTTCTATTGTTATGTTTATTTTGTATGAATCTAAAATATGTATTATGGGAAATTGCCAGTAGTTCAAAATTTTCAAAAAAGTTGAAGGCTGTCATAGGATAAGGTAATAAATAAAACAATTTTCTTCTTGAGTATACCATAGATGATACCAGTGGCGGCTCGTGTTTATGTTGTACTAGTGCACTTGCATTACCTATCCAAAATCAAGAAAAATTGAAAACATAGATCATAAAAGAACAATTAAGTACCTGTAATGCAATTAAGATTATGTTTCAAAATATAAAAATATTAATATAGAAATTCAGAATATGAAAATAATATAATATTGGGATTGGGTTATTTCGAAAGCCAAACAGCCGGGTGGTTGTCCACACCGGAACGGTATCGGTGTGTAAAAATCCAAGAAAGTCAAAACACACAACCCGTATTATAATGGAATTAATGTGTACATTTATTTCTGTGCATATAACCAATGAAATTGTTTTAAGCTAATTATTTTTGATATTGACGTCGAGCGTCTGCATTAAAATTTATTTTTACTCTCACTCGTTTATTATATTCTGATTACCAGCTGATAACGTTTGTAAACAATTATTTAATATAATCTATTGTATGAAATATATTTATTATATTGGTTATATTTTTTTGGGGGTGCACAACTTCATTAAAAACCCACGAACCGCCTGGATGATACATCAAGTGTCGTTTAAAGATCTAAAAACATTGTATTTTTCTGTTTTGAATACTCGGGCTGAAATAGGTAAGACTGTCATGATACAAAATTATACCTCTAAACTATAACTCTAAAATACTTGTAGGTAGCTGGTTGTAAAAACAAATGTTAACAAAAGCATAAACACCGTAAAATAATGATGCTTATAGTATTATATACAGATATATTGTATAATAGGTAAGACTGGTAAGTACCTCAAAAGATTCGACAAACAAATTGTCAAGTCTTATTAATGCTAAAGCGTCTTCCACTTCGAACCCGTAGACAAACGCCTTGACAAAGTCTGCGGCCTTTTGCAAGTGTTGCGATCCGATCTCGTCGTCGGGAACGGGATTTCTAATTTCCACATTTCTTGATTTGACGTTGAATCTGATGTCCAGACGGAGGTGATCGACAACAGGCGTGTAGATCTTTAGCCAGTGTTCCTTGAGCGGCGTGAGCCTATGCGACGGTACGGGCACCTTGCGCACCTCCCTATTGTCTGACGCCGATTTGGTGGACTGAATTTTTTTCAGAGGCCTGTTGCGAGTGGACATGATGTAATAACCTACCGAGATTTTAGAGTTCTTGAGCAGTAAACGTTTAAACGATGTGTAATTAATTTAGAACGGATGTCCAGAAAGGCAGGTATATAAAAAAAATGATAGTGATAGAAACACGTGCACGCTACGCAAGGTTTATTATCTATAAACCTTGGCACGCTACGGGCATGCATGTAAGATAAAAATATAAAATATGATAATTAAATATTTAAACAATAATATTATTGAGTGTCTGAGTGATAACTGATAACACTATTGGGTGGTCGAAATTGGTGATTGAGGGGGGGAGGCACTATTGTCTGGATGAAAAAAAAATCATATGTTTCGATATCAAGAACAGATGATGCAAGTAAGTGTTGCCACCGTGTTGTACTATTCGTATCGTCGTTTTGAGATTTTCGTCGAACACTCCGACGGGATTACTCGTGAACTGGTGTGGAACGTAAATCCTTCACTCTGTTCACGAAAATCACCGTTCGTATTAAAAGGGCGAACGAACAACCACAGACGAAGAGAGATCCGTGGACCGTGATCCGTCTTTAGTCTATCTGTCGTCTGTGCAAATATAGTCCGTCGTCTTATCCGCAACTTACCTATGCCTGTCGACGGATCGAACCCATAGCGAAGGCGACGACGACCTCGTTTAGCAGCTGATCAGTCCGTAGCGTTGGCCAACCTTTGTCGCCCCGTACCTTTGTTATCTGCTTCTGGGATATTGATAATCGAAACGTCGTAAGCGTAACTCGTAATTCATATAATAATAATATAATATTATTGTGCTCGGTGTGATATTATTATATACACACATCATATTGCATTATACATTATTATTATTATTATGCACGCATAAACGCATTACGCACACGAAGAATAAAAAGGAGGAATCTAAAATTAATTTTTCTGGCTTGTTTTTTGAACACATTTTCTCTCCATTCGTATTTCGTTGATTGTTTTACTGTTTGACGACCGCGACGACGACAACGGCGACAACGACGATTAACGTTAACGACTTCGGTGACGGATACTCCTTTTCCGTCCAGACCGTTCGCTGCCCTCGTCATCTCTTTGGTTGTCTTTTCGTTTTCTAAACGTATTGCGACCGCAGAGCAATGTCGCTGAGATCGAAGACGGTGTGCGAGATATGTGGCGAATCGTTTTTGACCGAAAACAAACTCTCCAATCATATAACAGAACGACACGTCCACTCCTCCACAAGCCCATCGCCAAGCGTCGGTTCGTCGTCCAAGCGACGAAAACTGGACTCCGACTCTGACGTTAGGTGTCCACTCTGCGATTACGTAGACCTAGACACCGACCGTCTGCAGCAACACGTCAATCGCATGCATTTTGACCCTGGCAGTCCCCGGCGACCGGGGACCGTAGACTTCCCTTGCCCGATATGCCCACTGGCGTTTGACCACTGTGATAATCTTGAAACTCACATAAATGAAGAACACCACGATATTGTTAGCCCTCAAACGGTAATGTAAAAATTCACCCTACAGTGTCCGTCGCTGCTGTACCCCATTAATCTTTTTACTGTCATTATAATATTATGATTTTTTCTGTGTCTCCAGGACTGTGATAGTCAGAGGATACCATTGTTGGAAAATATCAACGAAGGTTGTGTGATATGCGGAATGAAAAATTTTGATAGCTTAAGAGATTTGGATGCACACATTGAGCAACATTACCGAGGTAATACGGTATTACTATTACCTATTATATTTTATGTACTTTATTCTTTTACTGATATGAAATGTTTTAATTTGTATGCTAGTGTGAGCAAATTCATCAATTTAAAATTCCAATATATTTGTAGACGATGCATTTATAATAATTTGTTCCCTATAAATTAAACACTTACTATAATTCCCTTAAATTACATTGTTATTAACAAACAGTATGACCATGAGAATTGATTAGGTTTGTCAGCAAGAGTAATCAAAATATAAATCCCCCGATGAACAACTTTGGGAAAATATTGATACATTTACCTATTATAACATATTACGACATTTTTTACTACAATTTATGACTGAATATATTTCCCACAGATTTTAGTTATCGCCAATATTATGTCTGTGAATAGGTTTAAGTATATATAAATACTAAATATTTATTGAAATAATATGTTTTTATTGTTAAATATTTAAGAAAGTGCATTAATTTTAAAATATGTAATATTAAATAAGTTTTTTTGTATTTAAAGTGCAGTGCACAATTTCAATCAGAATTAGGAAACCAATATTCATTATATTAGTGCCATATTTTTAATTTCTTTCTGAGAAAGGGTCAAAACATTGTTAATAATTCTAACATTTTACAGGTATTTGATATTAGAAAATTGTTATTTATAACAGTACCCCTGAATCCCCTCCCAAAAATATGGCACTGATTAAAATGTTGTATTAACATTAAAATAAGATGTCTATTAATTACTAATAATTTAAGTAGTTTAACTTATTCCATGGATCACATACTATTTTTATGGTTTATTGTAATTATTAAAATAACTTTAAATAGGTATATATTTAATTATAAAATTTTTCCCACCTTTCCATGTTCACAGTACAATTAAAGAAATAATAAGTCATCATTGTTCACATTCACTTGAATATACTGAATTTTTTCGGTTAAACATTCAATTATATACTATAGTAAATTTTAGGTTGAAAGGTAAATAAAAAGTATGCTAAAATATGTATTTGAATGCGCATTCTTCACTGTAACTATCACATTAAAGTTTTTTTCCGCCCCAGATTTTATATTAGATAGTATTTATCTTCAATTAGAAAAATATTTGCAATCAAATCTAAAACAAGGTGGATTCTAAGACAATATTTTTGGTTTTTTAAACCTTTCATACTCCATAATCACTGAAAAAATGCTCAATATTAATCAAACAAATTATTAATAACAGTAGAAAGTAAAAAAACTGGTGCTAAGTATGGCATGTGTTATCAGTTACCACCTTACCTATAAGTCATTATAATTAACTTCTATTCAAAAATATAAAAGTTCTGACTGTTAGGTTAGCTGAACTATTTTTAAAAAGATAATGTTCTTACTTCAAAGTTTGATAATAGGTCAGTTCACTTTAATATCAAAACTAACAGCACACTATTGAAACTAGTGAATAAAAATTTGGTATGCTATGCATGTGGAAGACGGAGACAGCAAATGCATGCGTATTTTCTGATTTATTTCTTAACACAACTGAAGTTAACTTATAGAGAACCTTATATATAAAATGTTGAGCCTTATAGTTATAACAATTTAAAAAAAAATTATTAACTGTTAACTTTAAATACTTAAATGTTATATTAATATTAAATAATGTTGATACATCTATACATAACTCAAATAGACTCAAAATACTTTGATATTTATAGCATGTCTAAAAAATGTTAATATAAATAGTTTCAAGAAGACATCTATTTTTTTCAGAATTACTACTAAAACAAAATATTTTTATTTTCCTACTGTTTTTATTGGTTTTCTATACTATTTCCTGTTCCAAAACACGAATAATGATATAAATAAACAAAAACATTCTACAAGAGCAATACATTCTTTGCTCTAATTAGAACCTAATTAACCTAACCCTAATTTGTGTTTGGATCTGAATTAACTTAATCCATGGAAGTAAAATAATATCTGACACTCAATAACCCCTTAAATAATAGTGTTGTCAAAAAACCAATAACCAAAGGTAGAATTTTTCTCTTTTTCCAATGTTTATATTATGTATTGATAATTGTCAAAATATGTTTACTATATTTTTAAATAGTAAAGCTGATAAATTGGTTGATAATACAATTTTATTTTAAAAACCTAGATATCAATAACCATATTTCTTTATTACAAGTGCAAAGTCTTGGTTATTAATTATTATATTATATATTGTATAATATATAAAAATGTTTCAAAATCATGTTTTTATTTTTAGGTTCAACACCGCCTACCCAAGATCATTTAACCAATCATGATCAGCTTTTGGCCAAACAATTAGAAAAACAAGAGCGTGAACGTATGAAACATAAAGAACAGGAAGATTTTCTAAAGTTACAAGCTGCTTATGGAATGGACAACAAAGGCAATTATAATCAACAAACTATGACTAATCTACAAGAAGCTGTATCCAGTGGAGAATTAACTGTATATGATTACTATGAAAAAATATATGAAATAAAAATTGCTGAAAGTAAAGGACTTGATACTGGTGAATCAGCTACTAGAGGTTAGTTTTATTGTTAAAATTATTATATGAAAATTGAAATCTGTCAATTTATACAGTTATTGATAATTCAATTGAATATCAATAACTCTTCAGTACCTCGTACTTAGGTGGCTTCAGTAGTGTACCAATAACGTGGTATGACAGGCAATGATCCATAGGCCCATGACTTTAGAGAGCCTTTCAATAAATGTCATAAATCCAAAACTGATCACCATTATTATAAAATTTAAAATACAACAATCTTAAAAATAATTCTTGTAAAATTTAATTGATATAAAAATTTTAATTTACTATTTGAAAAAATGACTGGCACAAGGTTATATTTAAAAATGATTTTATCTTTAGCAGTGTTAGTTTGTTTACGTTGGTGTTATTGAAATAAATGTGGAATGATTTGGTTAGGTTATCCTTTTGATAAAAAGGTATATCCTTTTCACATAAATATTATTTTTAGTGATTAATCTATATCTAAGTCCATGATTATTTTAGTGTCAAAATCTGGTTCAAAAATCGGCCACATCTCTTGCGGTGTGGCATTTGATTATAATTTAAAGAGCGTATTGTAGGTCACAGGATACACCAGTATTTCTAAATATACCCAACTCAACACAAAAAATAACTTCCAAATAAATCTTGATATAAAGAACTCATCTCATAATGTAAATACAAATCAAACAAAAAATTAACTTATTTTAGATTCTAAGAGAAGCAATGAATGTATTATAATTAAATTGATGTGTATTTTAATTTTGTTTTTTTGTCTGACATAGAAATTTGGGTTACTAAAAATGCTCCGATTTTCGACACAAGAATTTTTTACCGATAAAGAAGTAAATCTCGTTGGCACTTTTATTTAGAGGATGTGATACCTGCATGTGTTGTCTCTGTCTTACAAGTGCGTAACATAGCAAATTTTACACTCAGCAGAACACGTGTAGCTCCGTTAGTTTAAA